AGCACTTGAGATTCGCCCTCGCGCCCTTTGTTTTTAAGACTGTCTTTGTTTCGCTGTTCTGCAATGTCCTGCTCAGCCCTGCTCTGCCCTGCCCTGCTCTGCCCTGCCATGCCCTGCCCTGCTCTGCCATGGTTTGCTCCCTCAGGAGGCCAACAGGAAGTGTTGTGTCGCTCTGGAGTCAGCCAAAACACTTAGGGCAGGGCTGTCAAACGGCAGCAAAGTCCCTTTTCATTTCGTTACGTTTCACGTTTGCCCCTGCCCACAGGATCGGCCGTTTGAGCCAGGTGCCGGGTAGGTGCCTGGCCTGGCCTGCCTGCCTGGCTGAATTATGCATTTTGCTCAAATAGTTTGTCACTTGAAAGTTTTGCCTTCAAGGGGCAGCGGAATGGTGCCACCAAATGGAGGCCAGCAGTGGAGACAGAGACAGGGATGGGAGCATGTCAACTTGCATATTTCATGGCGGTCCAGGGCAGGGCTAAATGCCAGGAGCCAGTGCCAAAGCAATTCCACGAGGGGTCGAGATTTAATGAGCGGAAAAGCTGTCCGGAAATGAGAGAAATCCCTTCTCCGCTGGGGTTAACAGACAACGGAAACACCCAATAGCAAGAGCATTGTTTTCCCTATTTTCCCAATTTTTCTTTTCTTTTGCATCACTTTTTCCTCTCGGGTTTTTACTCTGTTTCTTTAGCAACAAAGTTAGCTTGGACTTTCCTGCTCTGGCTTTATGGCTGTGCGGCTAATTCTTCTTGGCAGAAGAAAGCAGTAAATTAGTGATAAAGCAACGGAAGTGTAGCAGAAGCATGGAAGAAAAGCTTGAAGAAAAGTGTTGCGAAGGGGAACACAAAGAGCTGCCAGAGCGGCGAACAGAAAACAGAGCAATTTATACAGATTGTACACAAATTTTTATCTCTATTTTAATTTATATTTTTCGGAAAAAATTGTTTCTGTTTCCTTATAATTTCTGTTGCTCGCCGCTTTCCTCTCTCTCTCTCACTCTTCTTGAGGATCTGCATTTTTGGTTTATTATTCCTTTGCTTTTTCCGTTGCCTCTTCCAGTGCCTTCATTGCCGTATTTCTTGGCCGGCTATTTCTAGCACTTTCTATGTCAGTTTTCTCTTGCTTGTGGTCTCCCTCCGGCTGCTCTGCTGCTTCCCCCGTTCTTCATGTGTAAACTCCTTTGAGCCACTCCATTTAAATTTATTCTCCATAATTCTGTGCTTTCATGGAAAAACGTAAATTACAATTTAAATTCTCCCCCCAAAAGGCAGCTCTGAGAGGGGAGACGTCGTCGTCGTCGGTCGTCGTCTTTTTGCAGTTTCGTTCATGCCTTAAATCCATATTAAATAGCTCCACACTTTACTATTTATAAGGCCCCAGAAGGAGTGGGTGGTGGGGGGAGATATGGCATATGGGGAACGGAACGGCATAAAAAATAAAGAAACTTAATAATTTATAATTTAATTTTAGTATGTGTGCGTGCGTGTGTGTGTGTGTGTGTGTGTGTGAGAAAAGTTTAAGTGAAAATTGAGCACATTTAATTACAAAATTACAAAATCTAGCACTCTGGCACCTTGAGGCGCCAACTGTAACTTCTCAGCAACATTTTGCACCTTATTTTCCCTATGCCCCCGCAACCACGCCTCCGCCCCACTAACATTTTCCCATTTTCCACGACGTCTAGCTGGTCCTACACTTTTCACTTTGCACTTTTCATTTGTTGTCCCTGCCCCCGTCCTGCACCTTTCCTCGAATGAGAGAAAAACTTTTGCAATAATCAAGTCCGGGAAAGGTCCGGAAACCCCCGCCTTGGGCCACCGAAGGCAGCTCTTAGTGGCGGCAATTAGGACTTGTAGGACTTGTAGGACACCTCCCCACTCGTTTGCACTTTGGGCTGCTTGCCGGAATCCACTGAAATTACAGTCCAAGTGTTCACTTTCACGGCGGTTGCCTGTTCATTGGCGGATTCAACGATTGAACGCCACCAATTATGGCAGTCCGCTGCGAGTATCAATTGAATGGCAATGCTAAGCCAGCCAGCCAGCCAGCCAGCCCCAAAGCAGCTTGTCAGCACAAAAATTGTGCAGGAAAAAGCAAACGTTTCAGGGGAGGTCTAGAGAATAGGGTAGAGTGGGGGGGCGGAGTGGGTGTATGCAGTGAGGGAATAATGGTCACTAAAGACACTGCAGAGGGTACCTAAAAATCGATAATATTATCCACAGATATCCTGGAATAACAAAAAAAAAAACAAACAAGCGACTGCCAAGTGGGAATATAATTAAATTGCTGATCTTGTGATTAATTTGAACACATAGACATACATATGTACATGCATATTTACACACACATTTATGTGAATGGTGGAACTATTTGTTGCATATTTTATCAATGAATCGTTTCCATTGAATTTAATTTGTATTTTTTCTCCATCGATGGAGGCAAATTCTGCCAGTTCCTGAGTACTTGCGATCCATGTAAGTTTGCACATTGCATATATGTACATACTTACATATGTAAATATATGTATAGGTATATTGTATATCGTTTGCCAAAGACTTTCAATTCGAAGCATATTTTGTTTGGCCGAATAGCTATGCGCTACAGTGGGACCCATCATGACGGATAGTCGAGATTTCCACCGCTCGCAGACTACCCCGAACCAACAGCAGAATCACTTAGGTTAGGAGGCTGTATTTCCAGCCCGCACTAAGCCTGGAGTGTGGCTCAAGTCTTGTGCCTTCAGGGTCATGCAATCAGTTTTTTGTTTCCTTTTTTTGTTTTTTTTTTGCTGGATCTCGGGTACTGCCCATTCGAGGCTCTGTCATTGCTTTCGGTGTTTTTTGTTTTGTTTGTGTTGTTTTTACTGCCGACAAGCCGCACAAATTAGATATGCAAACATACGGGAGGGCAAACAGGCAGGCGGGCAGGCAGGCAGGCAGGCAGCCATAATCCATAATCGTTTTTATTTGGTTGCTGGCCCTATCTCTGGCTTCGATTTATTTGTTCGTTTCGCTTTCGATTGGCTTTGGTTCGTTTGCATTAATTACGAGTGTTGCGGCTCCTTAATGCGGTGGGCGGGGCGTGGGGAGCGGGGTTGGAGTGGGGAGTGGGTAGTGGGGAACAGTTATTTAGAAAACAATTTCATTTTGCCGCCCGACACGGATATGGGATATGGGGCAACAATCCGTGGAGCGTGGACTCTCTGTCTCTCACTCTTTCACTCTCTCTCTCTCTCTCTCTCTCTCTCCGTATCTCTGTTTTGTGGCCTGACTCACGGTGCGGCTTGTGGCAGCGAATTATAAAATGCCAATTAAGCCAATTTGTGGGCTGGCAATCAGCTAATTAGTTGGCTTAAAACCGGGTGAATAATCATTTGGAGAAGAATCATTGAAAAGAATTGCAATAAAATAATGCATTTAAACGGGAGATTCCTAAACCATTTTCCCCACAGTAAGTCCTCCCTATTTCCGCCATCCAAAAAGAGATATCAAAATGTTCAAAATATTTACATATACATATGTACAATATATCACCTCGGAATATACTCGTACAATAAGTGCTAAAAGATGCCACTTTTTGTGGATTATTTATAAAAGATTTGTAGCTTAGGAAGCTCCTCTTGCCTTTTACTTCTGCTTGAGTGTTTTTCTGTCCTTTGTTCTAAGTGTAGCCAATTATCATTATTATTATTAACCAATTGTGTTCCTGCACTGGCTATAGATAATTCTGTAATCAGTTTTAATCGGATCACGCATCGCGATGAATTACGAATTATTGGCCAGGTGCGCAGGCAAAAACCAAAACTATATTATTATTATTATTCGCTCAATTGCAGTACCCAAACATTGTTACATATCTACATAAATACCTATGTATGAACATACCATACATACCTATGTATGTAAGCTGCACCGTTCGCTTTCAGTTAGCAGCAATGACAGCTGCTCTCGCTCTCTTGTGCTTTCGCTTTGGAGCTTCTGCTCGCTCAATCTCTTGCGCCCTTCTTCCCATTGTAGTGATATTGAGTTGACCTCTCATCTGCGAGTACCAACAATTATATTCTTCAAATGACATCGTAGTGAATCGATCCAAACCTTGAACTGATTTGTCGTGAACTTAGTTTCGAACATCTGCATTCAATATTTATCTGAAAGCTTTAGCAATTGTTTATATGCCGCTGAACTGCGCATCGTACCAAATCATGCATACTTATGTATGTATACTCGCATGTAATTGAATACGCTGCAATATTTCAAGATAAATAAATAAATAAATCTAAGCTCAGCCTCTTCTCAGTTTATTTGCCCAAAAATGCATCAAGTTTTTCAATGGCCCTCCAATGTACATTAATCATCTTTCTCTCTCTCTCTCTTGAATTTTCAAGCATTTCGTATTTGCTGCTCTCCTATTTGTTCACTTTAAACTTTGATTTCTAATAAACATTTTTGTTCAAGAATTCTTTGGAAGCTCTTCAAGTACGAGCAGACAATCATACATATATATGTATGTATACGTATGTATGTACATATGTACATATGTATTGTGCTGCAGTAAATAATCGCACACTTGGGACGTCTAACCTTTCCTTTACTTCACTCGTCGGAACTTCTGCCCGTTCCTTCCTCTTTCTCAGTTGGTAAAATGTAAAAGTCTTTTTGCTTGTTTAAAGTCTTATATAATTATATTTGCATTATCCAATGTTAGTCTACACAAAAAAAAGGGATACATATATACATAAATGGATCGAAGCAATCCGCTTATAATTATAATTAGCATTGCTGGGCAATTGTGGTGCGAGTGGAAGGAGGAATATGGGGAGGCAGGGTGGGTTGCCGGTTGCCTGTTGCCCAACTGTTTGACAGCTGGCACACCTGTTGCCAGTCGTTTCCTTTCCTCCGGGAGCGCTGTGTGTGTGTGTGTGTGTGTGTGTGTGTTTGGGTGGGGCAGGGGTGGGCCAACCAGAGACGGCTCCGTTCCAGGCGGAGCTGTCCAGGTGACCCGCACTACAGGTCTGTGGTGATGGTGTGCGTATGCCCCGCCAGCAGCTGTGAGGTGGTGTACAGTGGCTCCTGCTCCTGCTCCATTGCCTCCATTTCCTCCTCCTTCCCCTCCTCCTCGATTTGCACATCCACCTTGAAGCGCTTGGCCGCACTCTCCATTTCCTCTAGATCGCTAAAGGCCGGAAAGGTGGTGGGGCAGAAGTGGCCGGCAATGGCCTCCGGTATGTGGCTGACATTGTGCAGCATGTGGGCGGGTGTGCCCTGCAGATAGTTGCGCCACTTGTTGTAGGAGTCACCGCCAGCCGCAGCGCGTCGCTGGCTGATGGGCGACGAGGTCTTTGGCATAATGCGCTGCGCCTGCTGCATCATGTACATCTCCCACTCGAGATTGCTGACCATCGGTGTGGATTCAGTGGACTCTGTCGATACATTTGATTCATTCGATTCGGTGGAGCCCGTAGAGCCCTGGGAACTGTTGCCCATGTCCTGGGTGCGCATCAGTTGGCGCTGCTGCTGCTTTGTGGGCGTTGAGGCCGAGCTGCTGCATGTGTAGTAGCCACAGGAGCGCTCCAGCTCCAGCTCCTGCTCCTGCTCTGACCCTTGCTGCTGCTGCTGTGGCTGCTCGGAGAAGTCATCGCAGATGGCCCTGGAGCGGCTCCAGATGCTACGATTGCTGCTGTTGCTGCAGGAGCTGCTGCTGCTGCCCATGCCGCTGCTGTTGCGACTGCTGTACAGCCGCTTGCCACTGCCACCATTGCCGTTGCCTGCCGCCAAGTAGATGCTGCCATCCAGCTCTGGCCTGGCTGTCAGCTCTTTGATTTTCATGCTGCTCGAACAACAACCCATGGTTTATGATATCTTCTGTGACTGTGACTGAGACGGTGACTGTGACTGTCTGTTCGCTGTAGGTTCTCGTGCTCGAGACGTTCGTGGTCAACTGTTTGGCTTGGCCTGCGGGCAGCTGTCTCTTATATAGGCAGCAGTTGTCGCATATCTTGCAGCAGGTAGCTTTCTCCCGGCTATTGCAAATTTCCTGGAATCCACCAGCGGACCAGCGGACACTCTCTCGCTCTCTCGCTCGCTCTCTGTCCGCTGATAAGGTTACCTGATTAGCCTGGCCTAATCCGCCGGGACGCGGCGAAGGGGATTTCATGAGGAATCACGACAAATGTTTTATGGCCCGGCAATTTGGTCAAAACAACATTTAGATCCCCTCTCGCTGGTTCTCCTACCTGCTGCACGTCGATGTGTCCGTAAATGTCCTTGATTCGAGCACTTTCGATATGCAGGGCCAACGAGTTAAGGATCTGCATTAAGTGGCAAGCTAACCGAGTGAGCATCTCTCTCCCTGCCATTGCAACCAACCATAAATCTCCCTTTCTCTCTCTCTCTGTCAGCTCAACCCTTTTGCTGGATATTCTTCTCACTGGTTGCAAAAACTTTCCTATAGACAGGGCTGCGCAGACGCTGCCTGATCCCGTGCATTCCGTACATCCCGGGCATCATCGCGCAGTTGTCCTTGCTCTTCATTGTGGCAGCAGCAGCCGCCGCGTCCTTGGGCCATTGTACTCTCCATTGCTGCTTTCCCTCTGTCCCTCTGGCCCTGCGGCAATTGTTGTGCAAACGCCGTGGCGCAGTGCCCGGAACGCCGTTGACGCCGGCCACAAGTGCAAGTGCACCGATCGAATCAAACACCAGACCAAGCCACAGCCAGCGGCCAGCGGCCAGAGCGCAGCTGTCCGACCGATCTGCATCCATTGTTCCGCTCTCTGCTTCTCCGTTTCGTGGCTACGAATTCCTTTCGCTTGAATTTTCCCTCAATGGGAGTTGGGTGCGCTCCTGCTGCGGCTCCTGCTGCTGCATTCATTCTGGACTAGCACGAGGTCGTCTCTATCCAAGGCCACAAACCCAAAGCCAAAGCCAAACCCAAAGCCAAAACCGAAATCAAATGGAACAACGCAATGAAAGTGAATGCCAAATCATTTGGCATCATTCGTTTTGTGCTCAATGAATGCAGGTGAATGGTTTTCCAGATGTTGTCTTAATACTCGCATGTCCACAGCCAAGCAGGAGCTCCCCACAGGCGCTACTCAAAGCAGAGTAGCCGCACTGGATTCTCTGCCAAATTATCATCAATCATTCGTCTGAATGTGTCACTTATTAAATTACATATGGAGACCCCTTCAGAATCGACTGACTGCGTTCATGGCTTCCATGTTTATCCCATGATGCGGCACATGGATGAGCGTGCAAAGCAAAATACCCCAAAAAGTAAAAAACACATATTTACATGTCGTGTGCATGACGCAGCTCTCTGCTGTCTGATTCGAGTCTTTGCCTGTGTTTGCACTGCTCTCAAAGTGAAAACAGACTGCCCCACCCTTCAAAAGAGACTTTCGCAAAGGGTACCGAGGGCACTCCAATATAATGCATAATTCTTGACACATTTCTCCAATGATTAACAGCATTATTTCCATGCATCAGTGTCGTTTAATTCTCTTGTGCCAATAATGGACTCGCTGCTTGGGGTACTGCTTGGTACCCGGCCGGGCTTTGCTTTGGACTAACCTCAAGTCCGACCTCGCTGGCCAACATTTGGTGTTCTTTTGCCTTTTGCCTTGTGTGGGCCTGGGCCTGGGCCGGGCCGGGCCGCGTTTCTTGTTGCATTTTCACACGCAATCGTGAAATTTCCCGCATATTTGGTTTTTGGGAAAACGAGCGGGCGGAGTTTCCTTCCGTTGCGGACTTTCCAACACGATCTGCCTCGACTACTGCGACTGCCACTACCACTGCCAATGCCAATGCCACTGCCACTGCTACTCTGTGTGTTTGCTAGCTTATCCAATGTTGAGCCTAAGTCTTGCATCTAAATCTGCATTCGCATCGCCTTGGAGTGGCAGTCAGAGTCGGAGTCGGAGTCGGAGTCACGTAACCCCTGCAAGTCGCATTCGGCTGCACGTGATTGGAATTGATTTCCAGCTGAGCTGCCATCTTACGCAAGCCGACTGAGCCCTGAGAGGGCTGTAAGAGGCAGGGGGGGATGTCGGTCATGTAACGAAAGAGAGTCCTGAAGCGGAAGCACTGCACCTGAGAGATCCAAATGTGCGACAAAGGCTTTCAATGTCGATTGGTTCTACGCATTCTTTAGCATTTTAAAGACAGTCCCTGCCCCACACCGACCAAGGGATGTGTGCAGCGGATAGCCAAGCAAAATCAAAGCGAGGGGATAGCTGGCTGGCTGCGCCAGGACTCCTGGCCTTGCTTCCTGCTTCATTGACGCACAGAAAGCTGTCAATTAAGCTGGCTCAAAGGCAAAGAGATTCCGCACGAATCCGCCCCTCAAGGAAATGGCCACGAAACTGAAATGCCATTGACACAGCAGGAAGGACACTGCAAAGTGTACAAAGAGCACTCCACTTCACTCCACTGCAGTCCACTTCAGACCCTTCGATCCCGAGGCAGAGGACGTGCCTGGGACCCTAAATTTAGTTGCAATGAAACGGAAACCGAAACCGTAACCGTACCGGAGCCGTAGCCGTAGCCGTGGCCGGAGCTGAATGCAACTTTTGGGCACAAGTGCAAGCCAAGCAATTGTCTGGAATATTTTTTTATTGAACCAACTTGAGGCAAAGCCACAGCCAGGACCAGTACGTGGACCATCTGGCCAAAAGAAGACAAAACAAAAAACGAGCGGGTCCCAGCAATCTGCAGCAATGGCAAAGACAATGCCAAATGGCAAGGACATGAATATTTCTAGGAGTCGCTGGCCGCAGGCCATCAAGGCGACTTCGTTTTTAAGGTTTTTGCATTTCTATTGCATTTTTTCTATTTTTTTTTTGGTACACAAACAAAAAAATACAGCAACAGCATAGAGGTGTGTGTGCGTGCGGGTGGAAAAATTCAAAAATTTCAATTTGCAGATTTTTGTTTACGAAACGCATTTTCCGTGTAGATCGATAGCTGGAGAAAGGACGGGCCAGGAGCAACTCCTTGCCTTGCTACGGGGCCATAAAACCATAAAATATACCGCGTGCTTGCTCTCTCGGTAACGGGACAAGGACCGATCGCAGGTAGCACACCCATATCCAGTGCCAGTGCCAGTCCCAATCCCATTCCCAGTCCCATCCCTCCGATGATGATGATTGAAACGCAGATCCAAGACGCGCTCGTCCCGTCTCGTCTTGTCTGATTCGATTCGATTCGATGGTTGGTTGGTTGGACTGGACGCACTTGTTGATCCATGGCCCGGGTCAAGTAGAATCTGGACATGGTGTGCTGCCATGTGGTATTTCCGCATCCTGTGGGAAATTCACGCACAGACTGTGCCGACTAAACCGGGGGAAACACATCGCAATGGCCATGGCCAGCATCGATCCAATCCACACATGTCGCGATTTGGTCGTTAGGCGAGGCTACTTAGGCCCTAATTTCGACAATAACAACCTGATTCTATCCAAGAATCAGTGTCGCACAGCTGGATCCAAGTGCATTTTGGTCTGTTGTGCCGTGCTGTCATGGGATTTGCCCGAACCAAGCCGAAAACTGTTCAACTCAGCCAGGTGTTTGCCGAGCTGCGGCTGCTGAGGCCCTGATTTGCGTTCATGTAATCGCGGCCAAGCGAATAAGTTATAGATAGAAATTTGGCACAAAGTTTCGGGTACAGTCCCGCACACTTTATCGATATTTTATCGATGGGCTGCATCAATTCATGTGCAATCGAAATTAAAGTACAGAGCCCATTTTCCTTTGCCAGGATACCTAGTTTATATTTCCTTACTCCCCTACCCCGATGTTCCATTCGCAATAAAGCCCAACCCCAGTGTGTGTGTGGCTTGATTATACTTAAAGGAATGCATTTTAGTCCCTTACTAGTCCCTGCCTAGTCCCTGGCTAGTCCCTAAAAAACAGTTCTCCCCTAAAGTTGAAGTTGCAGTGAAATTTAAAGTACAGTTGTGTTTCCTCGGGCATATTCTTCTGCTGCTGTGGCAAACAAACATCAATTAAGCATCCCTCCCTAACCCCATACCCTGTCCCCCGCTCGCCACTTGGCTGTCCTCTGTCCTCGAAGTTTTACGATGGCCACTTTACGTGTCCCATCTCCATCTCTCCAGCTCGCCAGCTCGCCATTTCCGCATGCCATGGATGCCTTTTTGGGCCAGCTTTAAAGTGACTTTTTTTCTTTCTTTCTTTTTTGGTGGGTTGTGTGTGTGCGGCAGGAGGCGGGGGATTTCCTCTGGCGAGGAATCCCTTTTAGTGTCCCACGGCACGGGACACCAACTTTTATTCCCTATCTGTTTTTGCAGTTGACTGCACGCCTCTGAGTATGCAACTTTTTTTTCCCCACCATATTCCGGCAAGGAGTGTGGCCCCCTTTCCCCTTTAACTACAGCGGCCTTAAAGCATATTCCAAGCTATTTATTAAGAGAGATTAACGAATGTATCATATATAATATGGCACATGGCACACGCATATCTTCATCATCGAATTCTATTGAATTTTGCGATTCTTTTGAGCTCTTTACTCGAATCGAAGCTTTGGGCAGGGGAATGCGCGGTAAGCGGCTTTCGTAAGTCCCCCCCCTACCACCCTAGCTGCCTGTCTGACTGCCTGCCTGCCTGCCTGCCTGCCTTCCCCACCTGATTTTGGAGTCTTACGGCAAACTTTCAACGTGACTGGCGCTGGGCCTCGCACCACCTGTAATCGGAGAAAATCAATAGAATTTCCTTACTTATAATTGTATTTGTGTTATGTGTTATGAGTGTGTGTCTCTCCCTCAGTGTTTCACATGTGTGTGTGTGTGTGTGGCGTTATGTGGAGGGCGCCAAAGGACACGTGTCTGGCTGTGTGTTCTTATGAATATTTGAATGGCTTTTGGAGTTTGTACCCAACCTCCCGCTTGATGTTTATTTACATTTGTAATCGGCATTTCAGCCTCCAGGACTTCACTGAAGGGGCGAGCGAGACATATGAGACACCTCATAAATCCAGTCGATGGAGTGTTCTTTTTGCCAATCATCAGCAGCAGAGAGAGAGAGAGTACGCGTATCCCCAAGATACTTTTCCCAAATCAAATATATAGGTATACAAAATATACAAACGAATGTCGGTCCGTGAAGAATGAATTATGTGAACTGCTGTTGAGCCAAATAAATGATGGGGGGTACAGACTGCACAGACTCGCATGCGTTCCTTTCTGTATCTGCATCTGTACCTTATAGATCCCCTTTCTCCCAGATATTCGCTGCAGCAAATATTGATTAGGCATCCGCCTAACTGCACGGGCAATATATTACAGATGCTTAATCAATTTATTAAATGGTTCTTCTATGATCTGTGGAAGGCCAAAAGCTTTCGGAATAAATACTCCCAAATCTATTTTAGTTTTCAGCGAATTTTGGGTAAGCCAGAGAGCAGCTGACCAGCGCGTATACCCTCTAGAATCCTAGCACCCTTAACTAAATACCCAAACAATAAAATACACATAATAATTGCACTCCCCGCCCCATAATTAAATTTATTATAAATAATATAAGATATTGTGTATTGTTGTGTGTAAATGTTGTAAAAGTTAAACCCATTTTTCGAACATATAAAACGATGAGGAAACGTTGGCAAAACGCGCCAAGCCCAACACTTTGAGTATCAGATACTTCTTCGATATGAACGCAAAGCCGCTCATTGCCACTTGGGAAAGACTAAAGATGCTAATGGCCAAGAGGCACAAAATCAGCAGCAGCTCAAAGCGTCCTGGTCGCTGGGGACGCTTCTCCCCCATGTCAGCCAGATAAGTGCACGCAAGCGTTGGGTCTTGAGTGGGCATTAGGTCAATGGCGCTTATAGTTTGGAGCATCCGGAACCGCCGGAAGGGCATCAACGATTTCTTTCTGGCAATGATTGCCTTTATGCCAATGCCATGGCGAAAATTGTATATATCCGGCCGAAAGGCTAGCCGATCCAGCGATGACTTGCCTATGCACAGCTTGGGGATATTCCTTCTGGTAAATCGCTTACGAAAATCCATAATTGAACTGCAAAGCAAAAGAATGAACCAACAAGAATGCCAACAATGTCTAAATATTATTACGTACTTTTACAACTAAAACGGAATGTGAATATGTAGCAACACACAGGATTGATTATGCCAAACCCACTAGGCTCGACTTTGTCTACACTTTCAAATGACACCACACACACTATGATTAACACATATTGTACTCGGATTCAGCTTTTTGGATTAACTTGAACAGTGAATGCCCTTTTTTTGTGTAGCAATATAACAGATACTGATCATACAGATACTTTCTTAAGTAGAGAGTGAAAAATGTCCTCTGTGCTTGAATTTTTCCCAATTTTTTTTCAGACTTTCTCGAGTTTTTCCCGTATTGTTTTAGCTGACAAAATTCTGCAATTATGTGTAGATAAATAATTAAATAAATAAATAAATAATAAAAAATAATAAATAAATAAGTAAATAATAAAAAATAATAAATAAATAAATAATAAAAATTTTAAAAAAGAAATAAATAAATAATAAAAAATAATAAATAAATAAATAAAATAAATAAATGTAAATAAATGTATGTTTAGCTCTATCTCATATATATTTACGAATATTTCAAGAGTTTTCTGGTATTCAAAGTGTAAAGAAAATAGAAGGAGGAGGAAGCAGGAACAAGGACTCTCCTAAGACATGCTCATGTATGATGAGTAGTTGGGCGGACAGTTGGCGTAGGCCCCACCCTCGCTCTCTCTCTCTCTCTCCATTAGGGATATATCCGAACGGCCCCTGTCCATACCTTTGTACGTACATACATACACACATATATCTCCATTCAATTGAGTGTGACAAATTGCGTAAAATGTGTGGTGGTGGTGTTTGTTAATTGCTCTGTGAGTTTGCTGCCCATTTGGGCATTTCTTTGTCCTCGTCTTTGGCTGCTGATTATTGAAATTGAAATCGATGACTGGCTGGCTGGTCGCTGGCCTCTGTCTGGTTGCTGTTGCTTCTGTGTGTTGTTTGTTTAACTCTAATGAGCATTTAATGGCCAGAAGGAGATCTTAATATTGCACTGCCACGACAATCAGATATCGGGCTTACCTGCACCGATGATGATACTCCCTTCCCTTCCGGTTTGCATTTTACCCTTTGTTCTGTCTCTCTCTCTCATTCTCTCTCACTCTGTGTGTGTGTGTGTGTGTCTCACTCTCTCTTTTTAATTTGATTTTTATTGCACTTTTACCATTTCTCTGTGCCTGTTTTTTGTTTTTGTCTTTTTTCGTGTTTTGTTTCTGGCGCACTTCATTCATAAATTACGGGGAATTTCGCCGGAGTTTGTTGTTGCTTTTTTTGTTGTGTTGTTTCTTTATCCTTGTGCGGAATTCCCCCGCCGTAGGGCAGGGCAGGGCAGGGTACGTCTCCGTACGTAGCCTTATCCCTCGGGGAATTGCGCATAATTCGGGCAGCATAGGCATGTTAATTAGTTCGTTGTGGGCATAGATTTGCCATCCCATTCCAGACATGGAATACCAAAGACATAATGCCCCGCCAACACATGTAATTAACCGAATTAGGCAAATGAAGCAGCAGCAGTGGCAACAGCAGCAGTAGCAGCAGCCCAAATAAATAGGTGGCAATGCCTATAGCAGGGGTGCCTGTCACTCAAAGTGTGCTGGGGGGGTTGGCGGGGTAGGGGCGCTCTGTGTGTAGTGGAGTGTGCTCTAAGGGGGGATAGACGAGAGTAGGAGGGGTTATGCGAATAGACAGTGCTAAATGGTAACGCTTTGAAGGTCATTCGCCAGGCTGCCTTAATGGCCAATTCCCTTTTATGTGCCCCTTGGCCCATGGCTGGTGTCTGTTATAGCGGCTTTATTTGCCAGATAATTTGTCTTTCCAGCTGTACCTGTGTGCTCCTCTGGCATGGGGCCAAGTCGTTCTGCGGCTTATGTGGCTGAGGTTGCGGTCTTGAGAGTCATCCTCCCAGCCGAGTGGAGTTTGGTTTTTGGTTTCTGGCTGGCTGGCTGGCAATCCATCATCGCATGTTCCACCCTGCAACTTTACTGCTACACTCGCATGGCATACTCGCTTCTTGGCAAACTTTTAATGCATTAAATAACTACGAAAAGTTGCGGCTGACACCCCAACCCCCCACATGGCATTCCACCCCAACCCCCTGTGGCATTTTGCATATTTTTGTGCATTCGAAGCACTTCTAAGCCACTCCGAGCCCCCTGAAAACCGCTGAATACTCGTATTCAGTATTTGGGGGGGATGAGTCAGTTATGTGCCTGATCCTTTGAGTGCTTCTGCAACAGCTAGGGGGCGGGGGGCAGCAGTGGCAGGGAGGCAGCACTGGGGAAAACTTGAACGAACTCTCGCAATCCTTCTGGGCCATCAAATCAATCTGTGGCCAAAGTGTATGTTTATGGCTATTTCACAGTTGGTTTTGCATTTAAAATACTCGTACTCGAACAGCTGGAAACGAACGAGAGAATAGTCCCGTCTAGCTGTCCCTGACAAGCTCTCCTACCAAGGCCACAAGCCTTTGCCTTTGCCTTTGCTTCTGCAACCCACCCACCCAAACATACATAGATACATTCATGCATACTTGTATATCCTGTTGCCAAGTCAACACCTGAAGTCTGAAAGTTTCTTCTTCGATTTGCAGCTATCAGACTGGCGGCTTACGCCGAGGAGCTCACCACTTCAGGCAGCCTCTCGGAAGGTGAGTTGCCTCCATCCCATCCGAGCTGCACTTAAACGATAATCAAACATTCATTTCACGCAGAATGGGGCTCCGGCTGGAGGGGCACCAATTTCCTGGTCGAAGTGGAGCAGACGGCACCCTCCCTTGCCTCGGGTTCGGTATCAGGAGCCAGTGGCATTGGCAGCAGTGGCAGCGGCAGTGGCAGTAGTTCCGGCAACGTTGAGGACTATCTGGGCAGCCAGGAGGAGGATGGCGGCTTCACAACGGGCACCACACCGGGAGCCGCCTCCAATGCCAGCACCGTGGAGACGGGTAAGATGCAACAAATTTTTACTTAATTTCGGGAAATATATAGACGGGGGTTTCCATGGGAAGGGTCTCTCGATGGAGTTTGGAAAGTGGCACGAGCATCATAATAGTGGGATTTGCCATTGATGGATTTCCCCCTTCGATATATTTCCCGCTTGATGTTGACTTTACATCACAGAATTTTCCACACATCGTGCCACAGCTGGCCGGAACCGCTGCAGAAAATCCTCTCTGTCGGCTTTGGCCCTTTGTGTATGGGGTGGGGTGGGGGGTGGATTTAAGTGCTTAAAGTCGTCGCTGATTCCATTCCCAATGGCAGCCGAAAATCCATTGCTTATCGCGTGAGATTTCGCTGCAAGGATATTTGAATTTTGAGTCCTGACTCTTGAGTTATTTACGCAATGAACGTGCCACCAAACAATACAAATAAATAAATACAAATGCGGCAAATGCGCAGCGAAGGGGATGGGAATTTTCTTACTCTGGAATACCTTCTGTTAATCTCAATATATGTGTATGTATATTCCGTTCGTTCGTTCCCTAGGACCCAAGATCATTGTGCGCACTGAGGAAGTGCTGATTGTGGGCCTCGTGCTGGTGCTCTGGGTGGGCGCCATAATGCTGTTTTTTAATCGCTGGGGCAAGATACGCATGCTGGAGCCGTACCAGCCCAAGTTCCAGCAGCAGCATCGCAGCTCCTGTCCCCTGGTCGATCTGGATGCAGTGCAGGCGCATCAGGTGAGGCATTATTCAATATTGTATACAACAATCCTATATATACATATGTTCTCTACCTCCGTCTTCTCTTTACATATAAATACGCGTATTTTTTGCAGCGCACATCCGTCTCGCGTATGTCGATGGGAATGGTGCATAATCTGAATATGCCGACGTGTCAATTTGCGGCCTATAATCCCAACATGTATGCCAAGGGTATGTACAATACACACACACACACACATACATGTGCATGCATGCATATGTACAGTTGTGTTCAATGAAATAGTAGTGCCGCACCTCATCACTTTCAAAACCCTTTTTGAGATATTTCTAGTCTTTCAAATTGAACAAGTGATACCTTTACGGAAAGCCTGGAATGTAAGCATTATAAACTTGAAGAAACCCCATTACATTTGCATTCTATTTTCTTGTTATTTATGACTTTAGACAACTATCCATGATATCTGCTGTTCAATGAAATAGTAGTGCTGGGTTAAATTAATTTTTAAAAATGAAAAAGCAAAGCAAATTTTTTTAAATAAGTCACCATCCGTAAGCTCATATTGGTTATTGAATAATTTGATGAAAGAAAGTTTTGGACATAGCGGTACTTTTGATTTTGTGGCGTTGAAGAAATCATTGCTCAGTCCAGAAGAGGAGACCTAAGAGTTAGACTAAAAACTTAAGGCAGGAGGTATAATGGGATTGAAAACTAAGTTGTAGGCACTCTCACTATTGTATTTAACCCAATTAACTAAAATAGGTAGACTGGAAATCGATTTTGTATGCGAAAAAATTATTTTTTAGGGGATGGTCGGCGATGGTCGGCGATGGTCGAAGGCAAGACCAGGCCTTTAATATCCTCAAAAATTATGAAAAAAATTTTAAATCGCTCTGTCAGTGATGTGACGGTTCTTAGACGGTTGATTACACATTATTTGAATGCAAGAAGTCTCAGAAAGCTCCGCGTTTGGGTCTGAGAGTACATGGGTGCACAACTTCAGTTTGGAAAAACGCATGTGGAATGGCCTGTGTCACAGTGACAAAAATACTTTTGACTAAAGATAGTAAAGTTGTATTATATGTTAAGATAAACTCAAAAGATTATGTTTGGCATTCACAGAAATCCGATTACCACCTAAAATCATGAAAAAATTAACATTGGGCATGCTAGGCTGAGCCTTATGGGGCCCAGCTCATATGAGCTAGTACTTTCTGGCCTGGCGTTTGAGTGATAGTGCGAAACTAAGGATGTAGGCATACATTTAGAATACATTACATTCATATTACAGTTGAAAAATTCATGTTAAAAGGATCTTTTAACAGGATAATGACTTAAAATACCCAGAAAAGCTCGCTAGGAATTGATTTTTATCGGAAAAGATCGACGTTTTTCCAAGGCCAACTGTCCAACTAGATATAAATCTCATCGAAGTCTTATGCTGGAATACCAAATACATTGTTGCAATTGCAAATCCGTGAACCAGAGTCTAGATTTAGCAAGTGGTTCATGGATTATTGGCTCAAATCCTATTGAAGCGTTGGCAAGAGATTAATGACCCATATCCGGCCGGTGCAAGTTCGAAATGAAAACCAAATTGATTAAAAACTAAATATTAAAGCTCAGGAAACATGAAAAACATGAAATATATGTTTTTATTTAGAATTCGTTGTTTTTTTCAATGTAAAAAAACACTACTATTTCATTGAACAGCAAATTTCTCTGGATCGGCTTATGTCATGTAAAACAAGAAAATGGAATTCAAATGTATGGATATTTCTTCGGTTTTTAATGGTAACAGTCCAGTCTATTTAAAAAGGTATCATTTGTTCAATTTGGATAACTGGAAGGGTGTCAAAAAGAGTTTTGAAAGTGATGAGGTGCGGCACTACTATTTCATTGAACAAAATTGTATATCATCATCTGCTTGCTGTCTTCTGGCTGTCCTCTTGCCCCTCTGATTTTTTTCATTTTCATTTTCTGTTTTTAAACTCTGCCTGAGTGCCGAATGCAATTAAAATCGAACAACGCATCCGCAGCCACATCGAGTATCCATTGAGTATCCTCCATCTTCACTTGCAGTGCGAGCCACCCACTTCTGTGAGTCCGCCAGGGGCCAACACGACAGGGGGAAAAAAATTATAGCGGGGGGGGGGAAAACGTGGCCCAACGGGACCGGGGGACATATGAAGCTGGCACCCATTAATACTATTAGTAATTCCAATGCCCATGATACACTAAATAATATTTTTTTATTTTATTATTTTTTTTTTTTTTAACTTATTTATTTTATTAATTTATTTATTATCATTGGAAATTATTTCAACTAAAATGGAACGGACAAAGTATGATAACTGGGAGAGGCAAATATTGCAATTGTGATATAATAATAATAATATTTATTTATTTTATTAATTAATATATTTTATTTATTAATTAATTTATTTTAATAATTTATTTTATTTATTTATTTTATTTATTTATTTTGTTAATTTATTTATTATCATTGGAAATTATTTCAATTGAAATGGGACTGTCCTTTTTTTTCTTTTTACCATCAACCGGGTCGGACATTGCATGTGCCGCATCATGCACACGACATGTATGCTGTTTTTTTTAAATTCTCTTTTCAACTCTTTGCTTGTGCTTTTTGAGTCGACCTCACCATGCTGTGTTATGTGGTAGGAAAACCTTCAAAATTCTCAAGAGCCTCTACTTGAAATGTCAGTTGTTCAAGCCAAAAAGAGTTCGCATTTAAGATAGCAATTGGAGCTTTAAGCACTCGAATGTATCAGAAGCAGCACACATTATCCAGCCCCCAGCAGCAATCCATGGCCCCTCTTTATTATGCCAAATGGGCAGATTACAAATTCAAACTGAATCGGAATACTTATGCGTAATGCCCGCTGTAGTTTAATGCCATCAGGCTCAGCACCGCCACCCCCAGCCCCGTGACATCCCACAGCTGCCACGTCCTGGCACTGGCACTGCCCTTTTTTAATGAGCTGCCAGACAATTAAGTTGCCCGCTGAGCGGAGGCAGCAAATACAATTTTAATGCCACTGCTCTTTGGCTCTGATGCTGTTTGGCTCTTTGGCTCTGCCCTACAACTGGGATGTTGCGCACTTAAATGCCAAGGAAACGCATGGAGCACACGAACAGGAAGACGGGTAATAAGGGGAACACACATAAAACATGCGAGGCAGCATGATAAAAATGATGTGGGGAAATCAGCGGGAGTGTGGCAGAGGAACCCCCAAACCGGAATGAAGTCTATTAAATTGGTGAAGCTTTCAGCTTGAGGGGCTTTGCCCGAATCTCAGCAGGGCACGTGACCCGAACGTGAGTCACGCCAAAGGCAACGCCAACCCATGTTAGCATTCCGATTTAAATCAAATGAGACACAATGATCCCCCAAACAAATTAAGTGGAGGCCCAAAAAGTGCTCGACTCGCTGCAGTATTTTTTTTTTTCAGCTAGAAATATGTCCATGGAATCCGTTTTGCTTTGCATATTATGGATGACTCTTAGCCCCGCTCTCTGTGGCAGGCATCAGGCTTTTTAAACATTTTTCTTCCTTTGCCGTTTCAGGCTATGCCTCGCATGTGTCGCACGTGTCACGGCCGCGCCAGAACTCTGTGTTTGTGGGCGCCAGCACCAGTCACTATCTGATGCCGCGGGCTCCACGTAAGACGCGCTCGGCCATGGATCTGCACTCGATGGTGCTGGACGAGAGTGCCGAACAGGTGTAGATGTCCTGCCCCGAAGATGCAGCAGGAGCAGCAGCAGCAGCAGCCAAGGACTAAGTCGCATATGTTTTATAAGTCAGTGTGTAAGTGCTAAGAGTAGGGAACAAAGTGTTTTTTATTTGTTTATTCGTTTTATGTGTGTGTGAAAGAAACGCTGCCCAACTATATATACACTTAATTGTCTATCGCTATGCCCCTCTTCGTCTGTGTCTCTGTCTCTGTCTGTCTGTCTGTCTATATTAGTGGGAAGGATAAGTGCTTTATCCTTTCATCGGTACATCTGTGCTGGCACAGTATCCATTCAAGAGAGTTTAAGTTAAACCCCGAAGGGAAAGGAGTCTAAACGAAGTCGTTGTACTATCTAATGTAGAGCTCTGGTATTGTTAGCTTTATCCAGTGTTAATCTCAAACGTAGTCTATGCTAATCCCCCCCGTTTCTCTTCTCTACACTTATCTAACTTAGCGTGTTTTAATCGTACTCGTACTCGAACTTAACTACTTCTTTCTGCCACAAATATTGGATACCAGAATAGACATACATAATATACGAATGAAAATATATTTAATATAAACATACATACATACATATACTATGAACAAAACTGTTTTAGTTTGTAAGTTTAAAGCTCAAAAATGGATCTGTGGGCAAATGGACCACAACATGGAACAACCTCCCGCATAATACCACATTCAGAGCATTTTGTTTATTGCAGCAGAACACTTACACGAACGATCAAAACTAACTGTCTAAACTACTCGTAAGTTGTAAGTATTTGAAGACCAAGCAGCAGATTGAAACTGCATATAGAAGGGAGAGAAAAAGTTGAACAGAAGAAGAAAAAACTAACTAACGAAAGCTTTAAATTCCTTTGGGGCCTACCAAAAAAACAAACAAAAAACCCATCCGAAAATTGTATTCTAAGTTTAAGATAAATAAATCTCAAGCAAATGTCTAATGCAAAATATGTGGAACAATGTAAACTAAAACTTAAACTAAAGCCTAACCGATAACTAAACTCAAACTCAAATTCAAACTAAGGAACCACTAACACACACAAACACACACCCAGATCTACAACTATGGAACTCCATATCCAATAGTCATATTGAAGGAATACCATTTAAGTATTTCCCCCGACAACAAAATGTTTGAACTTGTTTACAATATTTACAAGAAGAGCCTCAACAACACAACATGTACACATGTGTACTATATATCAAATAAATGCTAAATATATACCTATATATATTTATATACACACAATATATAATTATATACGTATACATATACATACGGAGAGGCAAAAGCCCCCAAAAGAAAACACAAAAAAAATCACAAAAAAAAACAATTACAATTATATACAATACATTTTGAAAAATTCAATTAAAACAATTATATTTGAAACGATGAGTGTGAGTGGTTTGTGCACTGTTTATTATTCTTTCTCAGATTACGAGTATTCGCTGCTCGTTATTCGCTGCTCTTCGCTATTCGTTATTCGCTAGTCGCTGCTTGTTATTCGCTATTCGTTATTTTTAATGGATACTTCAAGTTTATGTCTGAGAAATTGGCTTCAAGTGGCCATGGCATAATTATAAAATACACACAATCATTTAAATCATTTTAAGCTGCCACTTGGCATCACTTTTATAGCTCCCAGCCCTCCGACAACACCCACGAGATCTAATAGATGTTTTTTTTTTTTTCTGTGTTACTGGTTAACGGACCAGCTGGCACTTGCCTGTCGGCATTAAAACGCTTTCAATTGATGTGTTTTGGTTGTGTGTAATAAAATATATATTAAGCCATTTGGTTTGGATTCTTAATGAATCGAATTGGAGAGCAGCTACACCCCAGTTCGGGGCACATTGCTGTGGATGTCTTGAGTAAAGGGATCCATAAACATATTTGACAAAATGGCGAGAAAGCGACGCGTAAATTGCTGACCAATCCAACCAGCCAGCGAAAAGTGTGAGGAGAGTAAAGAGGTCAATAAATGGAAGCCATTCGATGTTATGCCCGGGCCATCGGACGGGCCGGGACGGGTTCAAGTGCAGGGAATTTATGACATTGCAACATGGAGTGGCTCTGGCTCGGGCTTGGGCTCGGGTTCTGGCTGTGGCTGTGACAACAGCCTCCTCCTGTTGGCAGGGCCACTGCCTGACCTTGTCGATGTTGCTGTTGCCGGGGGCCACAAATCAAACGAATGTCGCGACAGCCGCCCAGCCGCCCAACCGCCCAGCCGCCATTACCCCCATGCTAGATGCTGCTGACACTTGCAACTTAGGGTGGCGGTGCCAGTGGCTGTGGCAGCCAAGTGTTTGTGCCACTGTTTGCGTGACAAGCTGGGGGCGAACGAAAGACGCACATCGCTCTCTCTCTCTCTTCCACTTCCCTTACGAGCATGTATCCATATCTCTGGTGAACACTGTCACTGACAATCCTCTGTCCCCATGGCTGCTTCTCTTGCCAAAACATTCTGCCAGAGCTTTATCATACGATTATGATCCCAACGAAATGCTGAACGATGACCCAAGCAATATGCATAACTATGTAAATTAATTTCAGGCACAGGCTCAAGGCACAGGCACAGCATCCATGCCATGCAAATCTCTGCACAATGCCACAAATTGTGAGGGGGCAACACACACACACACACACACACACAGACACACACGCACATGTAATACCCATCCATGGGCTCATGGAGAGAGTGTTAAAGATTGATTGACATGGCAGCCTGGACTGCTCCATTAAAATAGGGAACTGGACCGTGCCGGGACTCCCCTCCATCACTTGAGTGTCTAATCAAAAATGCTTAGTATTATGGGGGGGTTTTTCGGGGCGCAGAATGGGGGCCCAAGGATTTATGGACGCGTGGGTCAGGGAGCGGAACTTAATTGCCTTTTGACATTTTGTGGCTTTGTTTTGTGGCCCCCTCAAGGAAAGAAACAGTCTCGATTCTGCTCAGTTTCTCAGGTTTTCAATTTACTTTTCGACACTCCTCTCTCTGTCTGTCTCTGTCTGTCTCTGTCTCCGTCTGTTTTGGCGTTATCTTTGATTTGTCCACCGAGAGACATTCAAATGAAATTTTTGCTTAGTTTCCAACACACAATCCACACCACACACACCCCACACAACCCCCACACAACCCCCACAAAACCCACACAAAAGCTGCATAAAGAACAAACGCCGGAAGCCTTCAGTCTTTCAGCACTAACTTTAACGTACGCTCCTGCGCAAACCCCGCCGACTGCTTCTCCATCTCCCTGCAGCTGCTTCTCCGAACTGCTCCCATGACAGCAAGAAATGCTTGATTTGAGGTCTGCAGCATTCAATACCCTTTCCTTGCGTCATCTTCGTTATTGATTGAAACTGGAATACCTTTGGCAATCGAATACTCATCGTTTGAGCGCTTTGGCTTCTGCCATGCATGGCATATACATATGCAATAATGCTTTGTGCTCCAAGGGCATCCACAAGTTACTTTGCACTTGCACTGACTCGCTCTGCTCCCGCCCTGAACTGCTGTTGCCACTGCCCCCTCCATGCTCGCGCTCCCCTCTGGCTCTGGCAGCCTTTTTCTGTTGTATTATTCCTAGTGCTAGTGCCAGTATTTGCCGTTTGCCGGACATAATCAAACGCCAGTAATTTTCTTCTCGCAAGTCTGAATGAAATAAATATATACATATATATTTTTGAGATTTATGTAGAGCTATGCTTAGTCCCCGGGTACCCAAATAGATGTAGTACGTCCAGCTGATGGATGACCCTCCATTCCGGTGGCTCTTTCCCGTCTGACTGCATGAATGATGGCGTAGCAGCAGCGGGAGTGGGAGTGGGAGTAGGGAAAAACAAGCATATGTATGTGCATATATTTCAAGTGCAAGGAAACATGATATTTGATTACCAAAACAGGAATGCTTCACTTCTACATCCAGCTGGCTGCCCCACAGAATAATGGCATGGAAACATGCGGCTGCTTCCGGGCCACACAGTGCAGAGCCAGCTAGCAGGCAGCTACCCAGCAAGCATTTTCAAACACTCTTTAAACAGCCAATTATTCTTCGACTAACCACCACCCACCACACACCTCCTTGCCCCTCCTGCCACAAATAATGCGTGTCTTTTCACACATCTTCCATCGCCCATCTGCCATCTTAAATGCGCATCTTTTCTCACCATCTACAGCTACATTTCGTATACCCCATGCATGCAATAAAGACCCCAAAATGGAGAAGCTTTTGTTGATGAGCTTGGCCCAGTGGACAGTGCATGAAGAATGGGGCGAGCGTTTACTGTTGCCAGTTTGATTAATGACAGCGATTTGCCGCCCCTGCTGGTTTCTGGCTAAGAGTGAGGCTGGACCTTTGACACTGTCCTGTCCCTGTCCCTGGCCCTGTCCCTGGCCACTTTCATGGTCATGGTTGGGCGTTGGGTGTGGGTTGTACTCAGTGGCAAACAAAGTTGTCAGCCGGAGAACTCATTGCACAGCCTCCCCTCAGTTTTGTGCGAGAGTCACTTTAAATCACAAAAATGTAACTGTTACCAAAAACCAAGAATCAATCAATGGCAGGACTCCGGGGTGGGGGTCAGTATTGGTATTGGTATTGGAATTGGTGGGCGGCTGCCATGACTGCATCGCCAGCAGCCGCCCCCGGCTGTCATCAATGTTTACGAGCGGCATAGAGATGGCAATGGCATAATCAAAGGACACGCAGCCTCATCAAGTTTTCTCTCTCGATTCTTCTGTTCTCTGCGCTTTTGTGGGCTGTGGGCTGTGGGCTGGCTGTGGGCTGTGGGGAGAACAATGCGTGAAAATAAAACGAGCGATAATGAGTGGCGTGGCCGAGACGCTGACCCAAGCAGAGACCCAGCCATTCATTCATCCATCCCACAAATGGTCATAGTCGGTGCCTAGGGGCTGGGGTTGGGAATGGGGTTGGGGATGAGGCCATGTGCTGACAGAAACTCAAAAAGGCAACAAGCCGCTGGAAGCCATAAAACGGACAGAAACCCCAAAAAGCAAACAGAACAAATATTTCCCCCCAAACTGTCAAGGACAGTCAGTCCGATGTGCCGCCCACACTGAAAGTACTCATAAAGATTGGCCAAAAAAAAGGTTTATGTTGCATTTGCCAACCCTCCCCATCCCCCCACCAGATGTGGCCCAAGGCAATAATGCTCGTAAAAATGTGATGTGCTGGGGAGCACTTGTCAGCTTGGTTATGGCCATCAAGCGACAATCAACGATCTAATCCAATTGGCTATAACGGAAAATCCCTTTTAAAGCATAAATCAGAGCTTATGTATTAAGCTTTTAAATTTCGCGCGGCAGCATGTCAAACGGAAACTTTCTACATGGTAACTACACGACAAAATGCTGCACAGAGACAGCTGACGGTCAAGAAACAAAAAGCTCATCGAACTGGAGCTTTAAACCAGGGAAGCTGCCTTATTTGGCGACTTGGCCAATGTACGCTCTATCGTTTGTTTATTATAACTATTTATTTCTTAATATTCAATTACAATTACTTTTCGCATGTCGTCGCAGTTGCGGAAACTCGAGGGACCATTGCTGGCGCTGCCATCTCGTCTCGAGGTTGTGAGCTGGCGCTGCCAGGGCTGGCACACTGACAAATCGTCAGCGCCATCTGGCGGCAAACTCGAGCAACATTGGCCAACTTATTCGCTGGTGCATACTTTCAGGGTGGCCGATCGCGGGCCAGTGTGACCGCACGTGCTGGCACAGAGAAACGACAAAAATATAAGTGTGGTGCTGTGGCGTTTGGCGGCGGGGTTTTTGTTTTGCTTGAGATCAGGTTATTTCCATTTCGGATTCAAAAATGTTCGGACGTCGGCCTGCTGTCGGCTTCTAGCGGTTGCTTTGACTTTTGTGTTCGCTGTCTGGCGCTGTGGCAACATTATTTTTGTCGTCTAATCGCACGTCTTGAGGGTGTTCGAGTGTGCGTGTGTGTGCGCGCGTGTGTTGTTGTACGCGTGCGTGCGTGTGTATGTGTTTCGTCTTGTGGTTTTGTTTGCGTTTGTGCACTTGAATCACCTGTTGATATTTTTTGGCCTGTTTGTTTGGGTTTTGAATCGTAGAACGACAAACTATTTGAACTGCAGCCACACCGAACAGGCTCGAGGATCGAGGATCGGCTATCAGCCTTCGATAAACAACAATTAACCGCATCGCATCGCTTAA